TTCCTATCATCCAATTTAAATCTCTCTCTTTTAGTTTAAAACTATTCCCCCTTGTCCTATTGCTGTCTAAAAAATGTATAAAAAATTGCTCTGTTTCTCTTCTGTAAGCCCCCTTTAAGTACTGTAAGGCTGCAGTGAGGTCTCGCCAGAGCCTTCTCCAGCCTGAACAGCCCCAGCTCTCTCAGCCCATCTCCATAAGAGAAATGCTCCACCCCTGGGATCATCTTGGTGTCCTACTGTAAATAACAGGTCTGTGCCTTTCTTGTTGAGGCAGAAACAGATGCTACCAAGTCCTGCTGTCAGTACAGCCTATACCAGCTTGTCTGGAAAGAGCTGAGATAGGCAGTTGTGAACACACACCACTACGATGTGTTAGGAAATCAAGGGCATCTCTAATAGGGTTCTTGACATTCCACACTAATGTCAGTGGCTTCATCCATGCATCTGTCCCTGTTCAGAGTCATGCCTTTAACTTTAGTGGGAAAACTAAATAAATCTGCAGGGGCTGCAGGGTGTAATACATTGCATATATCTCCTTTTATGGCATTTACCAATGGAAAGATACATAGGCAGAAAGCTTGTTCTAAGTTACACCTCAAAACATTGCAAAGGACACTTCCTTAAGCAAGATATGATTTGCTCTTTGTATTAACTCTTTGAGACAGAGTCTCAAATGTGAAATAAAATGGAACTTCACCATAGTAAAAACTTTAACACCTGATCCTGCAGCTCACATTCAATGCACAGCACAGAGAAAAAGGGGTGTGCCCACAAAACGTGTTCCCATTTGCAGGCGGTTTTTACGCAGGTTGTGCCGGGTTGCTTTATGCGGAAGGCGGAGCGGGCTCGCACGTCCCGGCGGTGCCTGGGGAGCGCCTCACGCCTCGCGTGTCCAGGAGATGGCGCTGCTGCCCCGGCGCAGCCCGGCCCGGCGCCGCCGGCGATGGGCCCTGCCCGAGCTCCGCAGCGTCAATTCTTGTTTACAAAACAGAAAGTTGGAAAAGGCAAGACGGAAAACTAGTTCTTACCACTGATGCAGGAGGTGTCAGTGGTAAGAATTAGTTGGTGAACTGCTCGGTTTGCTCCATGGTGTGTGCTGGTGTCTGTGGGGCTTTCCGGGGAGACTCATCTCTGCTGCGGGCCCAAAGCCGCCGCGCGTGCCATGGAAGGACGTGCTGCCCTGTGATGGACGTGATGCAGACCATGCAAAGCTGCAATCAAACACGACTTTGCACCACATCTTTTCCCCCACCCACACACCCACCTTCCTCCATTCCTTCTCCTCCTCAGAGCCCAGCTCAGCAGCAGGCTCAGGGGAGTGAAGGGAGCAGTGCTGGGCTGGAGCTGAGGCTGGCAGGTCTTCTCTGGCTGTCTGCACACCTCAGCCAACCCCTGGGCCTTGTTGGTGTCCAGGAAAACAAATTTGCCAGTTCCATTTGTCAGGTCTGTGGCAGAAAATAAAAGCATGGGATTAGAGCATTGAAGTGAATGAGTGAGAAAAGGTAACAACAATACCAAAGGATGGGAAGATAACTTAAGGGGGAGAAAAAACCCCAGACCCTTTCCTTCCATGTTCATAGTGATGAACAGCTGCATCCAGAAAGTTATGAGTGAGATAACTGGAGTTATTACCAATGACTGGAGTTGCTGGTACGACCTTGCATTGCGATGGAAAGCAAAGAACTTGGATTTTGTGTGGAGAACGTCTCTCTCAAGTGGCAGAGAAGTGAGCCTGACACAACAGTCATGAGCAGCACTGGCTGGGAAGGGATGGGGAGAGGGCAGAGAAGGAGTCTCCTAGGAGGAGTTGGGGACTGGAAAGATCAGGGTGAGGTACTCTGTTCCTTTTCTGGTGTTCCCTTGGGTATCTGCTGGCAAATACTCTCCCAGCCAAGGCTCCCCTTCTCCTCTGTGATGCTCCCAAATTTGAGGAGCCTTGACAAAGGGACTGGGAGCTAGAGGACAAGAAGTTGGAAAAGATGTGATGTGGGGAAACTGATGAGAGAAAAAAAGACTGAGTGGAGATTAAAGGATTTAATGCATAAGAATAAGGAATCACGGAGCAGAGCTTGAGGAGAGCTGTAGGACAGTGCTTCCCCTCGTAGCATCCCCACCCCAGGGGTGGGGAGGAGGCAGCTGACAGCTTTCCTGACCTCTGTGACAGCTGTCTCAGCTGGGCTCTGTGTTAATTCTGTATCAACTGCCTTCTGGAGGTGCTGCTTTCCCTCCAGGAACTAGTAGTGGGAAGAAGGTTAGTTAGACTGAAAAGGAACCCAAAATGAAGGGAAGTGAATCTCAACCCTTCCAAGACGCTGGCTTAGACTACCACCATGAGAACGCTTGGGGTGAGTTATCACCCTGATCCAGCATCTGTGATTGACAAATTACTTGCTGACTCTACACTTTTCAAAAAGCAGAGTCAGCTTTTAAATTTTTTTTATAAATTAACTGAGCACTCAGTTGTGTTTTGACTCACTGTTTTCAGGTGGCTTATGCCAGACCCTGTTGACCAGATGCTGAATAGGACAATTTTCCCAGAGGGGATATTAGAAAGCCTTTTTCAAGAAGCTTTTTTGTTTCCAGAAGGATTGAACTCTCCGCAAAGCATTTCCTGTCCCCTAGCTAGAACACAGTGCTCAAATTGCTCAAATAGAAAGTGATGTGAGACAAGCAGAGCTTTAGGCAGCCAGACTGAGCTGACGTCAGGTCTCTGGGCCTGAAGCAAAGCAGGGGTTCTTGAATCCATCTGATGTTTCATACATGGAGTTTGTACCTTGATTTGTCTTATCTTCCCTGGCTATCCCTGAGCAGACAATCAGAAAGAATTCAGCTTGGCCTCAGTTTAAGTAAGTTTTGGAAGGAGTTGCTGGAAGATTTGGAAAGAAAATGATGCTGTTGCTTAGCTACTTGCTGAGCTGGCCCTGCTGTCACTTGTAGCCATCTCACTAGAAGACATTTGTTAAGTGAAGCTCCAAGAGGCTTCTTGTGTGGTCACTACATGGAAACACACTTTTCCAAATAGCCACTGGCATCAATAGTCTGATCATTGAACTTGCTCAAGACTTGAAAATCTGTTGGAGCCCCACTGGATCAGCTAACAGAAACAGCTGCAAACACCTCCAGTTTTGAAGTGTGGAGGGGGTTTGTCACTGCAGCTTATTTCTATTCCATCAGAAAGGGCGGATGACAGGGAAGGTGAGGTGGAGGTGCAGAGCTCTGGGAATGTAGCTGAGACATGAGGCATATGGTTATTCCTTGATGATTTCCCTTCTGCCTCAGTTTTCTACTTTGAGAAGTGATCTTCCATGCCTGGCGGGGTTCTTATTAAATCAAATCTATTCCTGTGCTGAAGAGGATCAGTAGGGCAGCCCTTATGCCAGGCTGGGACCTTGCCCACAGCTGTACAAGAGGAGGTAGCCTGGGTAGGGTGATTCACCATGACCAGAACTCAACCCCTGAGCATGGAAATGATTCAGTGCTCCACACACAAAGGTCTCCAGCTGCCATGGAGAATGCAGAAGGGCAAGTAAGGCAGTGCTGGGCACAAAAATAGGGAGCTCAGGAATGGGGACTGCAACAGAAAGGACAAGCCCAAGTATCAGCCAGGCAGGAACTATTCCTTCCTGACCCTGAAGCAATGACCATCCAAAAAAGTGTTCCCAGTAAGAAAACTGGCTTAGTGAGAAGACTGTCCCCTTTCTTTCCAGAAACCTGACCAGAAGGGTCTATTGATCAAGGAAGGGAGAGACTGTAGTGGGACATGGTGCAAGCTGTTTCAGGAGTCAGGATCCCTCCTGGGCATACACCATTGGCTTCATGTTACTTGGGACTGGTTCTTAGGGAATAATTAGAGGCAAATGTGGCCCTTTATCTTCATCTTAGGTTTTGATATACTTTGATTTAATACTCAGTGAACAGGGTGTCAGGACAGTCTTAAAACTGTGTTTTTCAGTCCATGATAGACACCCAGAGGATTTTTAAGTGTAAGAGCAAAGAGAGATGAAGCAAGTGAGCAGGGCTGGAGCCAGGATCACCACGTTGGTTGAGGGGCCCCATGGGCATGAGCACATCCTTGTGCCCACAGCAGTGGGGAGTGCCCTCAGGAAGAACTAGTCTATTTCTATACTGGTGAAGCTGAATGGACATAAAATCTCCCTCAGTTATGTGGGTGTTTTTTTCTGTATAAACTTGCTAATTGAGTTGTAAAATAAAACTGCAGCCTTTCCTCTCCAATTTCTGCTGCTGCAGCAGCGTGCTAATTTGGGTTTGGAAGGGGGCTGGTAGAAGATGGCTTTTTGCCAGGGTGAAATTATGCACAAAAAGTTTTGCAGTGGGAGAGGAGTGAGCCCATCCCCAGCACAAGGAAGGACTGGGGGCAGGAGCTGCTGTGCTGCTGTGCAGGGCTCAGGAGGCTTGGGAAGGTCCTGCAGCTGGGCTGGGCTGGGCTGATGGAAATTCAAGAAAGCCCAGAAGGGTTTAAATGAGGCTGCAATGGAGAACAGATGGGAAAGTCAGTGCTTGTGTGTCTCGATAGATGCTGTGTGGTTGGGAGGATGAGCTGTGGGATTTCACATCTACCTTCCAGCTCAGCTGGCAGGATTTGCTGCTTGGGTTAAGGTGCCTCTGTGTGTGTGTGTGTGTGTGTGTGTGTGTGTGTGTGTGTGTGTGTGTGTGTGTGTTCATGTGCCTTCTGGGGCTCACAGACATGTGTCCATGTCACTGGGGTTGTGTGGGGGTGTGTGTGCCTGTGTCTGAGTCTCCATACAGACAAGGAGCACAGGGATCTGCCTCTTGTCACCCAGGAGCACAAGGCTCTGTCATGGGGACAGCTGCACAGAGGGACAAGGATGGTGTGGTGCAAATTGATGCACAGGAACCCATTGCTCAGCTCTGCCAGCTCACTGCAGCAGGGATTTGGCCCTGGTGCCCAAACTGGGGGCTGAGAAGAGGACTTTGGGCAATAAAAGTTGTGGGAGAAGAACAAGAAGGAGGCACAGCCGTCTGTTGCATCAATGTAACTTTAATTTTTGAAACATACACATCAAAAATGCAGTGACAGTGACAGTTCCAGTGCCAGGGGATTTGGTGGAGCCTGGGGCTCCACATGTGTGGCAGGTACATGCACCCCAACCTGCAGGAGGATGTACAGATTTGGGGGCTTGATGCTAGGCCCACACTCACCATTTTTATACCTTTCACTGTTTTACATAAAACTGACTGTGTGAAACGATTCCAGGCAATATGCTCCAGAAACCATTTCAAGAAGCCCAGAGGTTTATGGATAACTTTCAACAGTCCTTTCCAGCCCATCATCCTTCCATCCTTTTGCTGACCTTCCTTGGGCAGCCCTGAGTGCTGCCATAGGCTTCAATGGGAGCATCAGGAGCACAGTTTGGAGCCTGGGGCTGTGCTTTGAGGTGGGATTAAGTGGGACAGGAACAGACAGTGCTTTTCAGCCTTCCCATCTTTGGGAAGAGATGCCCTGAGCACTGAGCCCTGCTCCATGTTCTGGTTCTGGGAGGGCTCCCGAGTGGAGTCTCAGCACCCTGGCCAGGGGGGAGTGAGGCCTGAGGTCTGGGAGGTCTTGTCAGATGGTTTTTAAAACGACCTTTAGTATCTGAGTAACATCAGGCTGGATTTAATAAGAGACTGACAGAAGAATAACAGTTAATGAATCCTTCCTCTGCGAGCCCTTCCTCTGCCTCCTGCCCCAGCTGGGTTAGGGGGTCACTGACTGCTGGGGGTGGTGTGTGCAAGGGCCTGTGTAACACGCTGAGTGTGCAAATGCCATGCAAGCCAAGCCAACTCCATGTACAGGCTGTGCAAGCCCCGTGCAAAGGCTGTGCAAAAGCTGTGCAAACTCTGCAAGTGCTGTGCAAGGTGTGCAAATGCCTTCAGGCCTGGCCATCCAATGCTTCATGGGACAGGAATTTGTTGGGATGGGGTTTTCTTGGGATGGTGTCCTGGGAGTGCGTCCATGTCCGTGCACAGTGTGTGTGTACATACCGAGCAAAGCCGCTGGTTGGCAATAGAAACCCGCTGGCGATACTGTGACAAGACACCTGTAAAATTACAGCAGAAAGAAATCCAAGAGGCTGCAGTGACAAATGCTCGTGAGAAGTGATTGTTTCGGGGGGGAGAATAAAAAAAAAAAAAGCGGTGTTTGTTTTGGCGAAACACCTACATTCCTTCAAATAAATCATCGCAGCGCTTGTTTTTGTATTTGCGGAGAAATCGCAACAGACATAACCAGGGACTTAAGAGACTTGAAATAACATCCTAGTAAATACTCCACTTTGTTATTTTAATCGAGACCCAAGGAAACATCTGAATTTTACCAAGGAAACCCTCCGCGCGAGGGAAAACATCAGCCCGCAGCCCGGCTGGGTCTTTGTTTTGCTCCGGTGTCGGACTCCCGAGGCGGAATTACTGGGGCCGATGGAGGCTCGGGGCAGCCCGGGGCATCTCGGAGCAGTGCGGGGGGAGTCTGGGGTCCCGGGGCGCTCCATGGCGGGACGCTCCGGCTCTCCCGGCCCGGCCCGCCGCCGGCATCACCCCCGCGAGCCAGTGTCGGGATAAAGGGGTCTGCCCGAGACATGGGGTGGCGGTTCCTCCGTTCGAAACAAGAGCCAGGACAGCCCCATCTCCAGTGTAGGACCGGGACCCCCACCCCAGGATGGGGTGGTGAGTGACCCGCTCCGATATGGGGTGAAGTTTCCCGGTCCACTCTTCGGTAGGGGAGATTCCCCGCTCCGAAATATCATCCCTGCAAACAGAGGTGGTGGTGGCCCCCCCAACCATCCCGAGCTGGGGTCGCCTTCCAAAGTCAAACACAATCCCATTCCACCCCGCAGTCAGGCTGGGGTGACGCCTGGCATGGGGCTGTGGGACGCAGCCCCCCCGCCAAAGGAGGGGTGCGGGTGCCCCTACAAAGGCCCGGAGCCTTGAGGGATCTGTCACCTGCCGGGGAACTCGGGGCGGGGCCCGAGGGGGGTCCGGGGGTCTCTCACCTGCCGGGGCGGTCGGGACGGAGTCCGAGGGGCGATCC